TAAATAGGAACAGATAACATATTCTTAGTATGTTCAATATCACTAACCTAATTTAGAAGCTTCTTCAAAACTTGTCATACTGGTCTTCAAAGGCAACTCATTCTTTTTCAATTAATCTACTTGATTTCAATTTTGATTTAAAAATCCTGGTAATCATATAGAAAATAAACGTATCAACAACCAGAGAACTTTATTCTCAATGGTGCAAACAAGTACTCAGGCAATTCACACAAACACCAACGTCCGTTATAGTAACAACAGATGTCTGTTTTTGACCTCCATGTCCAGAAACATTTCCAGAAGATCGTGAAACATGGAATGTTCAACTGTTAAGGTCCATTGATGATGAAGCTGCGTTCGGCTTTCCCGACAACTCTGAGGATGCAGCTACATCAGTTCTTGTCAGCAGAGGTTGGTAGCTGATAAATGATGATGAGTACATTAATGCCTTATGCTTTTCTAAAGCATCTATGTATAAATAGGAACAGATAACAATTTCTTGGTAAGGACAGACCTGTTGACGACGCACATGCTAAACTTGGGACCATATGCTTTTTGCAGTTGATGATGAATACATTATAATTGAATCTGCCAACATCAATCAAAGATCAATGGATGGTGCCAGGGATAAAGAAAGTGCAACGTGACCTACCAACGGCATCACCTAGCGACCAAAGAGCAAGCCAGGGGCCAGATTCATGGGCATTGTGGTATGAGCACATAGGCAAGCTTGGTAACTCCTTTCTCCAAACAGAGAGCTTGGAATGCGTTCAGAAGAAGTTGAACCAGATTGCTGAGGAATACTGGGATCTCTGCGCGTGTGACACGTTAGATTATGACTTGCCAGGCCATTTGCTAAGTTATCCCATTCGAATTACTCACAATGGGAGAGGTGAAAGAACTTCCAGTGTTGGAATGTTTCCCAGACATCAAGGCTTTGAGTTCTTGGATCCAAATCTGAGATGCTTCCATTCATTCTCACCACTTAAGTTCAGTTGTCTACTCTTAATAGTCAAGATGATTACATTCTTTGATTCTGTCGTTTACGTCATGTTTGGATAGATATTAATAAACGAAAGATAAAAATAAAAAAATAAAAAGAAAATTGTATATGTACATTTTATTTAAATAGTTAAAATTAATAAGAAATGAAAAAGAAATGAATTCTAACGATCATTGATTGAATAAATAGTAAAAAAATATTTATTATAAATCTTTAATCATATATACATCCTAGCTTGTACAAATAAATCTTTTTAAATAAAATTAAACATATTTAATACAATAAGATATATTAGTTAGTTATTAATTTACTATTAATTTTGTGTTTAATTCAATTTTTTAATTTATTCTGATAATAATTTGGCTTGTTTTGTTGTTAAGGCTTAAAAAATTATAAAATATTTATAAATTATGATATTATATAAAATACCCATAAAAATAAATTATTTTTATAGGAAATATCAATTATATAATTAAATTTAATGTCATAATAAAAATATGAATATAATAATCTTTTTATAAAAACAAAAAATTTTCAACTTTTTTTTCCTTAGTTTTTTTTTCAAATTAAGGTATTAAAAAAATAAAGATTACAAGGGAAATAAAAAATTATTAAATTTTCACCTATTTTATTTTTTTAAAATTAAAATTTATCCAAACAAAAGAATAATTTTTTTGTTCTCATTACTTTTTTTTTTTTTTTTTCCCCTCCTCTCAATCCAAACATAGTGATCAGCAGGAATTAATCCTGAAGCCAAACACCTTATAGAAAGTGCCAATGCAGCTCTGACACTAAACCATTTGGTTAATTGAAAATGGTCTTATAGAAACCTTTGCTGCTCGACTATATAGGACTTAAAAAAAAATTGACTAGATCCTTAATTCAGGATGAGTTGAAGGAACACAATTTTGGAAGGGTAAGGTCCTCTTCCAATTAACCATGAATTTAGCTCTGCCCTTTGCAGTCTTATACATAACTCCCTATCCATGCATTACTGATTTGGTGCACTTATGAATGCTATGGTTTTCCTTTTTTTTATTTGTTTTCATTTTAGGAACAGAGCAAAAGCTCCAATATATGCTGATAGAACATCCAAGGTTTGTTCAATACTTTGACAAAAAGTGGTAAATATCCAAATTCTCATCTTCTTCCATATACCTATGCCAACAATATAAAAGTGTTAGAACATTTAATTTCAGCGGTCCATGACAAATTCAAATAAAAAAAAAAAAACAAAGCTTCTTCCATACGTGTAGCAGTTAATGATATTTTTAGCATATGCTTTTGGATATTCTTGTAGCACTCAAAATTAATGCCAAGTTTTAATTTCCAATTGCTAAACTATAATCTGCCCACCCATTAACCTAACCAGTTGACTTCTAATTTCACATACCATTTCTTCCAAAACCGAAATACTTTTTCAATGGAAACCCATTTTCTATTTGCACAAAACCTCTTTTTCTCAATAAATTATTGTTGCTTACGGCCTACTTTTGAAACCGAAGTTTCGTTGTAGACTTCTTTGCTAATCACTTCATTGGTAGGTATCTCTACCCTTCTACAGAAACCATAGCTTGTGGATTCCGTCACCAAGATAGAAACATGTAAATCTTGACTTTAAGATGGTCCTTAGGCGTAGGGTAATTACTTTGTGTGCCTCGATTCCTAGGTAGAGGCAGGGAAAGCCCACAATTTTCCAACACAGTAGAAAAAAAAAAAGAAAAAGCAAACAATAAAGTAAATTATTGAATACATTAAATTTTTAGTTTTAAGAATTAAGATTTAAATGTTGATAATTTCAAGTTTAAAAAAAATGTGCTTGCACATTTTGCCATATCAAGTCATTAACCTGTGGCTACAAATTAAAGTTTCAGAACCAGGGAAAGATTTTTACCTCACAACTATTGCCAGACTTCATGTTTGGGATTAGTTAGGTGTGTAAAAGAAAATTGTTGGCAAGGGCATGATTCACGTTCTATGAAAAGTCTAGTGCATCACCAGATAAACCAAATTTACATGTAGATTTCATCAGTTGATGATTTGATTTGACGCATACACGTATATGAAAAGCCTGAGAGCAATTTCAATGCCAAGCCAAAGAGAAATTGAGAAAAAAAAAATTGCCTTATCCGAATTAAAATCTCTTTCTGGTTGGTTCTGACAAGAAAAGAATCTTCTTTGAATCAGAATTATGCTCAAAAGCATATCGCACTCACTTGTCCGAACGTTGCTAATCATTAATTTTTCCTGTTTCCTTCAAACTAATACGTAACATCTCATGATGTTGATATTTATAAATCCCCCGTTTTGCCTTTTAGTGTAAGTATATTTAAAAAATCAAAATTAATATCTAAATTAGAAAGAGAGATAAAAAGAAAATATTTCAAGATCGTCAAAAATCATTGTGGGCAAAACTTTGAAAAGAATCACCGAGTCTAGTTCCTATGTACCATCCAAATATGCAGAACTAAATGTTTAAGCAAGATGTTTATGAAAATTTTAAAAATTAAAAATTAAAAAAATTAATTTTCTTATATATTCTAAATTTTTTTGAGCATTTTTATGTTAATAAAATTAATAAATTTAATAAAATTTTATATATCTATATTATAAGTGAATATCTTAAAGGAAATTAAAATCCACCACCCACAATCCATTTGATCGAACTTTAAAAAAGAAAAAAAAGGTAAAAACAGTCGTATCCTATTGATCTGCAATCTTGGACCACGACTCTTCGGCCTAATAAAGCTTCTGATGGCTTAATGTTAGAGGACATTGAACAATACCAGGTGCCCATGACCCACAGCCCAAAAAGGAGCCCTTTTTTCTTTTTTTTTTTAATTTCAACTCTGTTGATAATCAAACCCCCTCCTAGCCCATTGGCCATTGGTTACACAGTCATTTTCCCATCTTGAACCAGGTCTAAGCAACTCAAAACTACAATGTCCAATCTTTTGGCAAATGAGAGAGTCTGATACGTCATGGATGACACAGGGCAGCGTGCATTCAAAGGAAAATCAACCATAATTATTGAGCAAAGGTAATCTTCATACGCTCTTTTTCTAAAGCGTGAAACTCACTTTCCAGATTTAGTATATTTTCTTTTTCCTTCTGAAAATGATTATGAAACAATTTGAGGGGTTTGTATGAGTTTTGCAGACAAAACTCTATCTTCTGCACACATTATTGTCCGTTTCTTACAAGTCTTTAAGCCTCTTGTTTTTCGTTCCGTTTTTGGTCGTTTCCACAATTGGCGTGATCTTTCTCGTAAGATTCTATTGAAAATAATAGAATTAGAATTTCGTTGATGATAAAGTCTCAATAGACCCAGCCCCATACATAGAAAATATCGACCCTGTTTCAGGTTTTTGATGGAAAACAAAGATAGCAGATGAAAATGCACTAAAAAAAATCCTCCTGGAAAAGATTTCTACACGGATAAAGAAGGATTCCTAATAATGTAAGCAAGATTGGTTTAGGGTAAGATCAACATCATATCGGTTTCTAAATTCTGCGAAAGAAAAAATCAGACAACTAATGAAATTAACAGTAACCAATGACATGGGGCGACAGCATTAATTTTTCCAAAGAATCTGGAAATTACAAAGAAGGAAAAAAACCCACCTAAAAAATGAAAGGTGGTCTGCCAAATTTGCAGTAACAATAAGTTGAACTGACAAATAAGATACTGTGCATCTAGTCTCTCCCTAAGAAGCAATTGAAATAACGATAGTTTTTGTCCGCGGCATTGCCGTGTTGAGCACGTGCAGCAGTTAAGAGAGCCCAACCCTACAGTCCCTTCCAGAAGCCAAAATACCATGCCCTTTCTCAGCCTTCGAAAACATTAGTTTTTACAGAAAATTCTGTCACATTCAAATACTAAACAATATGACAAAAGAAAAAGACCCACCAATCAGGCCTTCCTTTGCTTTCTACAATTATAAAATATGTAATAAAATATTGCCACTTGATTCCAATATTTTATTCACACCTTCACCAGACTTCGCTATTTATCCTTAGTAAACACCAGAACTAACCCCCCCCCCCTTTCTTCCCCAGGCAAAACCAAACAGAGCCTCATTTTTATTCACCCATTTCGGCCTACAATTTTTGTTTTTGGTTTCTTGGGTTTGAGATTTTGGTCTTGTCCTGAGAAAACATGGCTTCAATATTGAGCTCACAAGGAGTGGTCTTCGCCACAGCTATGGCAGTCTCTGGCACTGTAATTCTCCTTGCTTTTCGCCTTCAGAAATCTTTCCCTCTTGATAAAATCCCGCAGCCCTCACAACAAGTCCTCCGCTCCTGCATATCTTCTGGTACATATCCATAAACAACTAGCCCTCTAGCTCTACTTGCGTGCATATATTTTAACATACTGATCCTAATTATTTGAACATTCTTTTTCTTGGGTGTTGTTTGAAGAAGGGAAGGAAAGGGAGAAGAAAAAGAAAAAGAAAGTGCACTTTGCGGAAGATGTGATGGATCCGAGAGGGGATGGAGAAGAGTTCAGGAGACAGGTGAAGAATCCTGTTAGAATAGGTAGCAACAATTCCCCGGCAGCTTTAAATTCATCTCCAAAGTTCAAGAAAATTGATGGAGGAATGCCTGCTAACAGAGTAGCTCTTTACAATGGAATTTTAAGGGATCGTGTTGTTCAACGATTGGCTTACTCTTACTGAGAAACAAAACATGCAAGAAGGAAAAAAGAAAAACAGATTTTGATTTTTATTCTTGTACAATCAAAGTTGTGCTTGTTTTTCACTGCAGTTTGTGTCTGTAGTTTGTAATTTTGTAAATATTATAGTTTTTTTTTTCCATTTCAATTTTCATTTTTGTGAAAAGTTTTAATGACACTGCTCCCCTTTCTAGCGTTTTTTTTTCTTTTTTTATTAGTTTTTTTGTTAATTCTTTTATTATTTGGACTACTTAGATAAAAAGAAAAAAAAATTATAAAATATAAGAATTTTAGATGTTAAAAAAAAAGATATAATTTTAAAAATATTTTTAAAAAATGAACAATAAAAAATGAAACACAGGGAATAATTAAATGAATTTGAATCATTAGACCAAATATTTTGTTTTGATTTTTTTATATGAGAATCTTCTTTTTAGATTTGATCTTAATAATAAATGAGAGTTAAGTAACTTTATTAGAAATAACTTTGCATTGTTTAAAAAACTTTCTTGCGCGCATCAAATGACGAGTGGTGTATTGTTAATGCGGTTTAGTTTATGAATCAAACTAAAAATTTTACTCTTTAAATCAAACTAAAGTTTTGGTGTGATTTTTCTATATTTTTTTTTTATAAAAAAGAGCCATAATTTTTAAAATGAGAGAAAAGATAAAAGATATTTTGTTTTAAATTTTAAATGTATTAAATATTATTTTTTAAAATGATTTTTCGATTTTAATTAAACTATGTTCGATAGAAAATATATAAAAAGAAAAGTAAAAAAAATTAATGATTAAGATTTATAATAATATGTATTATTTTATAATTCAATCATAATATTAAAAATTTTTCTTCTTTGTCACCAATAGGGAGTGAATATGAACATCCTGAAATAAAAATTGGAAATAAAAAATGCTGTATCCCTTATAGCTCCTCTTCTGCTCAAATGATAAGGAGGAAAGGAAAGGAAAGACAGAGGCTTGAAGCCAAACACAGACAAAATTCTCCCGGCACATGAAGTTTCTTGCAATGGCAAACAAGTTATGCTTTGTTTACGGAAATTTGGAAATATCTATGTGGCTTTTGTAATTTGTTTCCGACATGGAAGCCTCTTTCACATGGGCATGCATGTAACAAAACTTGAATTGAACTCATGCGAGTGTGTAGGGTGAATGCAAACATGCGTTAGGATGCTTCCTTTCTCACTTCTCTTGTCTACAAGCATACATGCTTCTTTCAATAATGGACTTTATAACTAAAAGTCAAATGACCAATTCATTGACTTCACTTTAATTTTTTTTTTTTATAATTTGGGTGACTTTAATTTTTTCTTTTTTTTAATTTGAGTGATATACATTGCATTCGTACCAAACCATGTCTTTAGTTATTATTATTAAGGTTATTTTTTAAAATATGAATATTTAAAATTTAAAATTTAATTTAATTAATTCATTTAATCATTTTTAAAAAATGATAACTTATTACATACTAAAAAATTTTTACAGCGTCACAAATTACAATATTTTTGAAATTGTTGATATATTTTTTGTGTTTAGATGAAATCATATTTTGTTAGAGTTTTATGTTGACAATTTTCTAATTCATTGGCTCATTTGTCTGACTGTTTTTTTCTTTTTCAATTTAGCCATTTTATAGGACCACTAGAAGAAAATGCTTGGTTGAGACAGATGGACGGTAGGTGGAGGAGACAAGTAGAGGATGGAAAGCCACAAAGGAGAAGCATAGGCAACTGAAATTTTCATTGAAATTGTAAGACAATCTTTATTCTCATCACCTACCTTGTCTTTTCTATTGATATTATCTTATTCTTTTGATTTTGGAAGTGCTAATGTTTCATGTGGGGGCCTTGTGCTTCTCACATTTCTTCTCTTCCTTTTTTTAGTTATTTAAAATTTCATAATTTTCTAATTAATTGAATATATTTCTCAAGTCCTAATTATGCACTAAATTAAGTGTCCAATAAACTCCTAAGGCCATGGTTCAAAAAATTCCATAAGGATTTCAGTGTTTGACCAATCAGCCAAACCAATGGAGAAAGGACACTCCCAACATGTTTGAGTTTTGTTTGGACAAACCATGTGAACATTTTCCAACATGGACCAATCCCATTTCTCCTGGCTGTTGCCTTGAAAAATTGGTGGCAAGCAATTTTCTTCATTTTTTTTGGAGTGATGAGCCATTCATGAATTGGGTTGACATTCCAAAAATAAGTTTGCATTCACATGGAACAGCAAAGTTGCCTCAGCAAAATAATGTCATAACTAGATGAGGTCATAAACTAGAATGATTTTTGGTAAAATATTGAAGCCAAACTGCATTTTCCTTTTACCAAAAATCTCTTCGGAATGGAGACAATGAAGAGTCCCCATATTTAAAACTTTACTCCTCTCTTTTTTCCTCAAGGTGAGCGTCACCAAGATGATATTTTGGTAGTCAGTCAAATAAATCTTGAAAATGATATGGAATGATCTCTTCAATGAAGTGATCAGCTTGTTGGAGACTGATCATTGAAATGATTGTAGTGCAATGGCTAGTGTAGGCCTGTAGGGCGTGCAGTGTCATGTGTCCCAGCCTGATGTGCTCTGCAGGACACTGTTTGAAGTTCACGAGAAAGCATCTCAGGCCTACAAGTTGATAAATTATTGGGCAGAGGATTCAGGATTCAGAACAAAAGTAGCTCAACAATTGGCTGTGATCAAGTTACTAAAGATATTTGCTCTGTTTTTATTATCACTTGTTAATTTCACGTATCAAATCATTCATTGTGGGGATAAGTTACCGCTCTTGAAAAATGTTTTTTCAGTTGCGTTCATAATCAATCCGGTGCAGTCGATATGACATGCATATAATTGACGAAAAGAAAAACTAAGCAGTGTCCATATGGATTGGTGTAAGGCCAAAAGGCTTATGTAGTTGATAAAAGGTTTTTTTTTTTTCTTTTTTCATGTTTATGCAAGCAAGGCAATGGCTATTTCATCATCAATGCACAAAGGGAATAGGCATTTCCTAACTCCATTTCTCATTGAAGTGTACTTTGGTTAGGCATTTTGAGTACGTTCTTGTCGGCCTGTTGCCATAAATATATATCTATGTATGTATGGAAAAAATAAAAGAACTCTTAAAAATAGAGAAAAGCTATCTTTCCATGTACCATGTATAATTTTTTATTCATTCTCGAAGTACAATGCTACGTGATTGGCAAAAAAAAAAGTACAATGCTAAGTGCACATAAATTATACAAAATGCATTATGTTTTAATGATCAAATCCCAATTGGCAGCTGCCACGGAGACATCCCCGTTAAAAAATGCTTCAATCAAGAATCACCGCATCAGTAACGGGCACATGACACTGGCAAAATCTCATGGTCAGATGCTGATGTAGGTGCTCCTCTAGATCCAAGTGGGGTTTGCCACCGTTATCTCACCAACCTTTTTAAAAAATTAATAAATTTTCACTTTTAATATGCAAAGGAAAAAAAAAAGGCAATGGCTTTCGTGTACGGTTCTTTTTACTTTTTTTTTAAATTAAAGTGGTCCATGACCTCTTCCATTAATTTAGTTTAAAAAAAAAAAACCAATGCTTTCGCTTAAGCTACTTGGACAAAAAAGGAAAAACCTACCAATTACACAATAAAGATAAAGTCACCCAATAATTTGACCAAATCCCATTTTCCTTGCCACCTCTAACCTCATTCTCCTTTGGCCTCGCGTCAAATATTCTTGAGAGAAAACCAAAGGCATTTGGGTTCTTTAAGAAATCACCTAAAAACGACTTCCTTTTGGGAATTTAGGTGGGTGACATAAGGTTTTGAGTGGCCTTTCTGATGGCCTAAACAAGGGAAGCTCCCATTTCTTTACTAATAAAATGGTGAGGCTGGCGGTCTTGAAGATAAGGGTTACCGGCATTGTTTACCAAAGAAGTTAATTTTTTGGGGTACTTTATTAGTGGTAATGACGTTGGGTTGATGTTGCCCATTCTCAAATGTTGGAAACAACTCTAACATTTTCTGTTTTTTACATCTTAAATAAATCAATTTAACCGTTCAGATATTGCTTAAGTGAAACGCATTTGCTTTTAGTTTGCCAACAAAATTTTGAGAATCTGTACTTTATTTTTTTTTATCGGAAATTAATTGTAATCTGTAGAGTTAAGAATTCAATATTCTATTAAACTCAAACGGTGATTTTTTTTATAAAAATTTTTAATATTTTATTAGTAAATCATGCTATTATTGACAGAATCTGTGTATCATTACTTTATATGTTAATTGCCGGTTTATCTGGGGATGAGTTTATTATACCATATTCTAGTACCAAATTGTGATTAAAGAAACATTACTTCTTTCTTAGTCTCTGGCCATTGAATTCAAGCAAAACTGATTAAGTCCCTCATTAGGCTGCACCTATGTTGCTATCTATAAATAAAGGTATAAATAAATCAAACATAAATAAAAATAATTATATTCTTAATATATTCATTTAATTAATGAATCATGAAATATTATTTATAATTATATATAAATTTAAATGAATAAAAATCGATTATATTTACGAATTATTCATTAAACATTTTATTAATTTTTAAAAATGAATTAAATATAACAAAATTTATTTTGTGTATAATCTATTCATTTAATTAATGAATTTTAAAATATTATTTGTAATTATTTATTAAGTTTAATAAATAAACAAAAATTAAATATGTTTACAAATTATTTGTCAAATGATTGTCATAACGTCTAGATCCAGGGATCTATCGCTAGACATTGACTTAAGGAGTCGTCACTAATCTTTTTTATCTATGTGCGATTGGTCACTTAAAAAATCTGTCATTTCAGGGAACACCTAAGTTTAAGGATCCCTAAAAGAATAGGTTAGGGTCTACTAGCTAGAACAGGATCCGAGAGTTCGGTTACTGTGAGGAAGGTTATAGCACCCTCACAACGCCCATCAAGAGATGGTACCAGCTTAATTTTGTGTTATCCAATAAGCTTTAAAAATTTATCAAGTAATTAATTATTAAAAATTATTCTCAATTGACTCTAATACTTTTAGTAAAAAATTAAAAAAATCACCTCACCTCAAGAGTATGCAAGAAAACTACTGTTTCACTTATAGAAGCTCCGTTGTCGGATTATTTAACATTAAAGAAAATTAAAAAGGAAAAAAATAATTGCTTTTGTGTAGGAAAAATTGATACTTTCAACTTTTTCTCAAAAATATTTTTGAAAACTAATATTTAAGGAAAATTGATACTTTCAACTTTTTCTCCAAAAATATTATTTTTTTTAGAAAGCTTATTTTCAAAAAAAATTGATACTTTCAATTTTTTCTCAAAAATCTATTTTTTGAAAGCTTATTTTTAAGAAAAATTAATACTTTTAACTTTTTCTTAAAAATATTTTTTAGAAAATTTATTTTCAAAAAAATTAAAAATTAATACTTTCAACTTTTCTTCGAGAATATTTTTTTTGAAATTAATATTTTTATTATTAACCAATGTTTTTAAATTACGAAAACATAAAATAAAATGAGTGAATAAATGACATGCTACAACCAAAAAAATCAAAACGGAAAAGAAAACATCTTACCAAAAATTGAGCTTAATCCTGGATCAAAATCAATTTAGACCAATTTTCTGAATCAAGCCTAGATTATTTCTTGAATGGGTTCAGACTAAAAGCTTTGGTTTTGATTAATGAACGGCTCGGTTTAAAGTTTTGGGTGAGCCTGTCTTAGAGCTGGTTTTGCTAACTGTATTCCTCTCTATCATCTCGAATATAGGATAGGCAGCAGTCCTTGCTCGAATAAATGCAGAGATGGCTGGTGCTGCCTGTCGTAATGACAGGCCAGAGATGACAACATTAAGCATGGTAGTGAAAGAATCCCCACCATTTGCAATGTTCTTGTGAACAACTATACTGGTGAACCAAACAAGCAATGCCCAGAAAACGAAAAGTACACAATGTATAGAGCCCAGTCCCAGACCCTTGGTTAAGCCAGCTTTTCTACCATACTTGTATGTGTTCATCAGTGCATCTTTGTATGATTTCACTGCTCTTTCTTCCCCTGCAAATGCTTGGACGGTTCTGACATTCCTAATCACCTCTTCGGCAATTTCACCAGCCTTGACATAGGAGTTTCGAACTCTAGCAATAAGCCCGTGGCAACATAAGCATAAATGCCACCGGCAAGGGCAATCAAAGGAACTATTGACAATGTTACCAGACTGATTTGCCATACTCTAGCAAAGCCAATGCTAAAGCCTGCTATAAATCTGCTTACGTAATGCATGAAATTCCCCACCTTCTCAGAAAGGGCATCTTGAACAACAATAATGTCACTTGTAATTGCAGATATGACTTGTCCAGTTGAAGCTTCGGTGTCAAATAAACTTATATCCTGATTTAGCATAGACTTTAAATACTCATGAAAATTGGGATAAAAATAAATTTAAAATATTTCTTAATTATGGATATAAGGATGGATATAATATAAAAATCCAAAAATAAAAATAAAAAATATTTTATTGTATCCATACCTTATACATTGACATCTCTAATTTCGTTAATCATAATCGATCTCTAACAATCTCAAACGCTAAAAAAAAATGGTGATTCACATTGATATTTTTCGGGCTTTTATCCAAAAAATAGTAGAAAGGAGTTGTAAGGGACAAAACCCAATATAATTGGGCCCATATGCAAACCCTTTCGATCAATCGTTTCAATCGAAACCGAACACGATCAGCCCACATCCTACCCTAAAACCCCAAGACTTTCAAGAGAAGAGCATCGCATTTGCTCACCAAGAAAACCAACAAAAACCCAGAGAGAGGTTCTTTCTGCCAAACTTGAATTTTTGGAATCTTCTGGGCTTTTCTGACTGTCTGAACAGTAATATCTCAACATTCGTAGTCGGTATAGTTCTTCACTACTTGTACAAATCTTCCCTTTCTAGTTTTTTTTTTTATTAATTTTCCGTTGCTTATTTATAAGGATTGAATTTAATTTCATGTGAAAGTTCTTTCGCTTCGTGCGGTTCCCTTGACAATTTTAATTCGTAAATCCTCCTTTGGGTTTTTCATTTTTGTTCTATTTAACAAAAAAGTAATATTCTTGCTTGAGACTCATATCAAATTGCTTGCAATAAAGTTGGTTCCTGGTTTCAGATTTGTTCTTCATTGAATTATTTGTTATTTTCTATGGTTATAAGCTAATTGATTATGTTATGGTTAAGTGTTATTTGGAGAGTTTAATGATATCTTAGCAATGGTTTAATATGTTGGTGTTTTCTATAATTATAACTCAAGTGATTATGTTATGGTTATGTATGATTTGGAGAATTTGATGATACCTTAATTTGGATTATGCAGTGGTAAGTATGAAGGTACGAGCATCAGTGAAAAAGATGTGTGAATTCTGCAGAACTGTTAAGCGCCGTGGACGTGTTTATGTACTCTGCACTGCCAACCCAAAGCATAAGCAACGGCAAGGCCTTTCCACATTTGCTTATGAAGGCATATTGCCTACTAGGTATGGCCCTCCCCTTACAGTTACTTTGTTTTTTGTGTGTTTTTGTCCCTCTTAGTTCACTTTTGGTACGAATTTAGTGGCAGCTTAGATTTTGGACTTTTAATGGCAATTATACTGTGGATAGTATGAAATATGAAACAAAGACTTTATTTGTTGTCTGAAGTGTGATGCTATTGCTTTGTTGCTTTCAATTGTCTTTATATTGTTACTTATTTGGGAAAGGTACCTTCATTTGATTTAGAAAATAAAAGGGTTGTTCTGATAAAATTACCCAAGGAACAAATACACACGATTAGCATGTTTTTGAAAGTACAGGCTGATAACTTATTTTAAGTTTGTTTTGAGAAATTGTTTTCAATATGATTCCGTAATCCTTAATTATGTATAGGTACATGCTTGATCTTTCTCTCTGGTAAAACTTGATCTAAAGCCCTTTAGCTTCTTGTCAAGTTGACGGGGGCCTTGATGTTCAAAGAAAAACTTCCTGGTCATCGTCATTGATGCCATTGATTTTTTGGTGTAAATAGGTTTTTCCATTCTTGTTTCAGTAATCCAACCCCTAAACCTCAAACTCAACAAGTTATATGATGAAAATAACACTTATAATTATGTTACAAGCAAAATGTTAGTGGATTTTTGTGGTTTTTGATTTCTGACTCTCTTTATACGGTCTACTTAGAGGAAGGTGTTATATTTTTATGAGAGTATTTCAGTCTAATGAAAATAATACTCCATAACTATAAGGCTTTATTTTTATGAATTGCTCAATCACTGTTTCTAAACTCTTAGGTAATCAATTTTATAGACCGCCTTTCGATTGGAAGGGATCTTTTCATTGATAATATTTTTTAGTGATATCATTTTTGCAGCTGCTTAATGAAGTATCTGTTAGATCAATGTCGAGTACTTTTGTTTGAATACTTTCAACTTTGAATCTTTTATATGTTTATAGATTATAGATTTTTAAAACCAAAAGGTGTCAGCCATGCTGACCCACACAACTGAAGTTGTTTATCTAACCACTTATCTGCTAAGATTTGAATTATGGATATGGATGGCAACGGGTTGGGTCGGGTTTTTGTTCACCCCGAACTTAATTTGACTATATACATATAATACCCTAACCCGATCTGATTTTTAATTTTTTAATACCTGAACCCGACCCTAAATTAATAAATATTATTTTTTAAATATAAATAGAAAATTAAATAAATATAAATATATAAATATAAAATTAATTAATTAATTAAAAAATAAAATTCTTTTATATATATCAGATCGGATTTGCCTAAAACTTGACCCTGACCCGGCTTCGATTTTCTCCTTCTATCCCCCGACCCGACCCGATACCCAATTTAAACAAAAAAAAGACCCTAAGAGATCGGGTTGGGTCAGAACCTGTCAGATATGGGTCAAACTGCCTTCCCTAATTATAGACTACCTAATGTTGGTTCCATTTATTTGTTGGAAGAAATAATTGACTTGAATCAAACATGTAGTTTATTGAAAATGCTAGTTGAAAGGGGAAAAAAACAAGAAGATACCAGAGAAAAGTTTTGCCTTTCTTAATTTCTTTACATTGTAAAAAGATTTCAACTGAAGGCTCCGACCAGATTGAATCTTTAATTGCACCAAAGGATGTGACTCCCTGATGAATTTGGCAACATTATAATTTGGGTTTTTAACCCTTTGTCTAGCCGATAGCATGGCTTGTTGCTTTGCCTCTATAAGGTCCAAAATTTCTACAGTTAAGAGCTCTTTGCTGCTTATAGATTTAGCTTCTAAACTAAATGAACTCTTAATGAATGCCCAAAGTAGTATGATTGATAGGAGGCCATCTTAACAGTTGAGGACATGCACCAGGGTATCTATCATGGAGACTGATATTATGCTGTACACACATGATCTAGTGAAAATGCACCAAAAACTTTTAAAAAGCTTTTACATTCATCTTATTTTTTTAGTGAGATAGCTGTACTCTTTTTATGCCTCCATGATTAGAGAGTACATGCTTGTAGCTCTGTTGTTACTCTTTTCTAGACAGTTTTGCATTGCCGCTATCCTAGCCTGTACAGTACGTTTGTTTAAGTGTTGAATTTATTGCAAGATTGGACCTTTTCAATTAAGCAGTGGTTTGGAGATTTGGTAATGAGCTTGTTGAATCTTTTCCAGAACGACAGAAACAAATGTCAAGCATGCAATTGTGCCCAGCTACAGCATGCGGCCAGGACTAGCATCCCTTCTTCCCAAAAAGCAAGAGCCTTCATTGATGATTGGATGGAGGGCTAACCTGGCATCTCTCATATTCAAACGTGGAAATTAGGGGAACCAAAAAGGAGATTACAGTTGTGGACTTCATATTCAACTGATGCTGCTGAATCTAAGATTCTATGAATTTTGTTTTGAGTTGCAATTATATTAGTGAACAGTGATGATATATCTGGAACTATCTTTGGTATTTTGTTTCATCATGATGCTGTGCTTATTGTTGCTGTCCTAAAACAGCTGTTGGAACACACATATAAATGAAACTCGGTATCTTTTGATTGTTTTTGGTGCGTGGGCTTGCATTTATGGAACCGGTGCTGCCTTGCGTTATGGAGAAATTGGTGACATTTTATCCTTGCATATGGTTTTGTAACCGTTGTGTTTCTTAGACTCATTTTATCCTTGTTTATCGAAAAATGAAATATAATCAAATGAGAATTTGGGGTTTCTATAAGCTAGTCTATGCAATCATCCTTAAAATGTGGCATTTAGTAAATTTGCAGTTTAAATTTCAGTTTTTGTAGTCTTACGATTTCTTTGCACGAAAAAAATCTAATCAAATGAAATATAGAAGTAGTAAAGGCGGTAAGATCTTGGAGCTCTTTTTCCCTTCTCCCCCATGTTCATTTGTTTAAGGAAAGCCAAAGCTCTAACCCTGAATTTTCTTTCCATTTTTATCCTTGGTGGATTTGAGGAGATGCCGAAACCATGCATTGAGCATTGAAGAAGAAATGCACTATTTTTTATGGAGGAGACATTTAAGGATAAAGTCATGCGTAAACACTGAATTTCAAATTTGCCTTTTAAAGGCAAAGAGGAGCCCATTTGATATCTTGTGGATTCGATGGCCAGCAATGTGTTTAGTGCTCGCTTTGACTAACGCGTCAGAGCACTTATTTTGCTCTTCACTCCCATGCTTGGATATTTGGGTTTTACTTAATTAATTCTGGATAATTTTAAAGACTTTTTATATTATTTAATGCTTTCAAGATTTTATTTTTAAAATATTTTGTATAAAAATCAAATTTTAATTAATAAAAAAATGTTCTTATCAATCAATGGCAAATGCAAGTTACAAGGAGGGGTGTATATGTACACTTTTAAACTTAGAAAATAAAAAACATTGTTTGTTTATTTTTCATGGATATTCTTAAAATTTTTTTATTTTTTTTAATAATCGTTTATTCACATATGTTAAAAAATATATTTGATAGTATTAATAATGATGTAATTATATTTTCTTAAAATATGAGAACTTGTTGTGAAATTTTAAAATAATATAACAATGTATTATTTTAAATTTTGTTTATAATATTTTTATATATTATAATAAACACTAAAAAAAAATTCTTAAATCCGTTATTGTTATCAAGTAGATTAATCTTTGTAGGTAAAGTGTTTTTTTTTTTTATAAATAATTTTCAAATATTATTAAATGGATGCATAAGGTTTTTCACATAAAATTTTTAATCAAATGATTTGATGAATACATTCAATGATTTCAACATGTGCTTAGGGGCGGCCAATCTGTGTCCATAAAATATCAATGATTAATACAAAAAAACTTGAAGCGTGCAACCTTCACAATCATATAGAATCAAGTTTTAATCCTAATACCAACACTCAATCTCGTTTTGTAATTTTTTTTGTATTGTCGTTTTCTAGTATTAGCATAAGAATCTTTTTTTTTTTTGATAATATCCAAATAAGTACGTGAAGTTTATTAAAAAATAAAATAAAATATTGATTTTTTTGTTATTTTAAATTAAAATTATGAAATTTTATTTTATTATAATTAAACTTTTAATATTATAAAATTTTAATTTTTTGGTAAAATTTTTTTAGTTGAATGATGTAATTTATTTAAAAAAAATATTTAGAATCTTATGTGAATATTATTTTAAAAATTTTATTTTTAAGATTTGATGGATATACCAATAATGAAATAAAATTTTATAACTTTTATTTTCTGTAATAAAAAAGTAAAAGTTTATTTTTATTCTCGAATAAAATTAGAAAATTATTTCAAATAATATTCTTTTTTTAAAAGAATAATATATATTCTCTTTTAATTCGTTTTACACCGCAGACTGAGAAACATCATGTCATTTAATGAAATAATAATTAATCAAATAATAATCGAAATAAAAAACAAGATAACTAAAATAAAGAAAAAGCTATAATTGACTTTACTTTTGACGCATCTTTTCTTACGTTCACTCATTCGTTCGCCCACGTTTTCGCAGGCCAAATCCAAAACCAAGGCGCGTGCATTCCAACTCCCTTGAACTCCTTCGTCTGGTTAGTTAAAAACAGTTGCCCCACCCACACCCATCGAACCATAAATTACTTTCTCAGCTTTCATTTTTTTTTAACTGCCCAATCAAGTAGCAGCAATAACCGCCAGCCCCCTACTATAAAAATAACCCCTACCATCCTAAAATTGGAAAAAAAAAAAAAAAAAAGACAATTTCAAGTACTCAATTATTCATTTCTGGTAGATTCCTAGGTTTCTATTGAGTTGGGTTTTGAGATTTTGATGTGGATTGTTGTTGGCGCTGGTGGTTATGATGATGGGTGTTGTTTGATAATTTTGCGGGAAAAAGCATGGTGACTGTTAATAATTTGATCAGTACTTGGATCGGTGACCTTCTCTCTTGCATGGGGTAAGTGTTTGATTTCCTTTTCTTTTTCTTAATGATTTGATTGTTTCTTTCTTTTTGGATGTGTTTTGGGCTTTGTTTATTCTTATTAATATGTTAAAAAAGGGCGATCTTTATTCGGAGTTAGGACGAAACCCAGTTTTTCTAGGAAAGCATCAAGCGAAAATATTGAAGAAGTTAAAGCACCAATCCTCAAAGATACGTGAGCAAATAGATTTTATTGGGGGGGATGGGGGATTTGATACAATGACATGGCTGTTTATGCACAACGCTTTGCAAGTGTAAACTGCTTGATTGGATGGAACAAAACTTAGAACAAAATCCTGAGTTAACAGACATGTGAATCTGATATGTGGCGGAGAACAAGGGCTCTTGTGTGGAACTGAATATGCTTGTATGGTTTTCTTGGGGGTTTACTATTATCAATTTTTTGCAAGGATCGAACTTTAGTACCATAAGAAGATGGTATATTAAAAAGATTGTTAAAGTGAAATGTAGAAAATAGACAAAAACCCTTAAGTAAAGAAAATCATTATGTACTGCACTTTATGTCTGTGGGAAATTCCCTGCTTTAGCAGCTGGGAAACCAATTATAATACTATGTCTTTATGAAAAGTTTTCGGCTAACGAAGTTTTCCCATTTGTTAGCCGATCTTTCAATTTCGCTGATGGAAATCAGACCTGTAAATGCTAGGTTAGCTGCTTGAGCAGTCCAACAGAAGTAGTTTTATTTGTTTATATTCTTTCCAACTACGACATCATTCTTCTTGGAGATATAGTTGATAAATTGCTTCAACACGTAGTTTACGAAATGTTTCCTTGACGTTAAAGTGGTCCTATGATGACATTGTTGATGCTGTCTAGGCTGTGTAACCATTGAATTTCATTTAAATATTCCTATTCCTGAACAATGGAAACGAAAAAGAGAACATGTAGCTTTCTACCGAATTTTTTTTTATTGAAAATGTTAAAACCTTTTGCTTGGGCTAAGTTGTACAGTAGCTTCTTGGAAGATGTTTTATATCACTGTGTATGGTTTAACACGGTTTTTAACAGAGCAGTGGTTGTTTTGGATGCTGCACTAAACCTACACCAATTATTACTGTTGATGAGCCAGCAAAACGATTGAGAATTCAAGGGCGTATAGTAAGGCAGCCTATCATTTCAGATGATTTTTGGAGCACCAGCACATATGATTTGGAAAACAGTGCTGTTCAATCTCAAAGAAGCTTGTCTTCAATCAGCGCATCGAACCCAACTCTAAGTCAATGCAGTAGCACCGGTGGCGTAGCCAACCCATCTGATTTTGTAAATCAGGGCAAGTTTTATTCATTATATTCTTTATCATGTCCATAAAATATATGAAACCAAGGATAATTGAAATTTTATTCATGATACTATTGTCAACTTTGAGACCCCAAAATTAAATTTTGCAATTCTAGTTTTGTTAATTGCAGGTCTTATCGTCTGGAATCAGACCAGACTCCAATGGATTGGAAGTAGTGGGCCTAGGAATCATACTCAACAAAGTCGACAGCCTAGAATAAGGTGTGTCACTCATTATTTTGACATTCTGTGTTTCAACACGATAGCAGTCATCCTAAAGTATGGAATGCTAGAGAGAGGCTTGACAACTTATATAGGACATGAAAGCTTCTTTCTGAATACATTGCCTCATTCTGTTCCAGATTGTACTCTAATAAAAAATAGAGCTGTATTGCAAAAGCTTTTTGTTGTGACGAATTCAGTGATAAGTGATGGGTATATAATTCTGAGTAGTGAAGACTTGTGCTATGAACACATAAGGTAAAGAATACATGTGTTGAGCTATGAAGAAACCTTAAAGAGGCTGGAGTAATGCCTATAATTGAAAATGAAACGTAATCTTTTAGTAGTTAATGGTCATCCTACTTATGTGTAATATCCTCATGTTACATTACTACAGTTGGAATGCAACTTATGAAAGTTTACTTGGGACCAGGAACCCATTCCCCCGGCCAATTCCTCTTTCAGTAAGTTCCACTCGGCGAGTTGGTGGCTTTAAGTACCTTTTCTTGCCCTGCTTTCAGATGTGCTTTTACTGCCTTCTAACCATGACTTAATTGGCAGGAAATGATTGATTTTCTGGTGGAAGTATGGGAGCAGGAGGGATTGTATGATTGAAGTTAATATCAGAGAAACAAAAACATTCCAGGTTTTTTCTACATATTAACAATTGTTCATCTTTGTAATTTTGAACATTAAGGAGAAGTATACAGCTGTGGGGAAAGGAAGAAACAAAATGATCAAAATACAGTTTCTATTTCATTTGTATAATTTCACAATCCGTGGTCGGTCCACCCAATTCTGTTCTCTGTATTTCTTTTACCTCCACTGTTTTTCATTTTCTTCTTTTTTTGCTATGTTAAACCTTTGTTGAACTTCCATTACGATTTGAAGTGAACATAGAAGCTCGTACTTGGAAGGATTCCTACTGTTAACTTAGAGCAGAAAGGCAGGTTCCATATCAAATAGGAACATAGACAATGGTGTCATCCTCAGGCCTTGCAAGACCTTTCCTCTGGAATTGGCACATTCATGTAACCTAACAAGGTCCAAAGAGAGGATACGGGTTCATGGCATCTGGTGAAAATTCTTTGAACGGACTGTGAAAATCACAATCAACTAAAACTTCTAGAAGACAAACTATGAAGATAATCGAAAATTACATCTCATTTTGCATCAGTCTAGTTTCCAAAATTTTTGTTTGAAATATTTATAATTTTTACTTGTAAATTGTATGCATATATTTTCCGAAAAAATAAAAGAAAATATATTGAAATATATATTTTTATAGTATATATTTAGGTATATCAGTAATATTTTTATAAATATAGTAAGGTGTTCAAAATATATACAACACGATCATATCTAAAAGTGTTTAAATTCATGGCTTGAAAGAGAATATAGGAATTTTCAAAAAAAGAAAAAAATCCAACTTTAGAGCTGCACGAACACAAGGGTAAACATCACTAAGAAGAGTCATTTTCTAAATTTTTATTGTATGAAATAAAAATGATTATTTTTTATTTTATAATAAATAAAATCTTAATGTTACGGAATATTCTGATAAGATCAGACTGACGGAAAGGTGAGTAGAAATGGATATATAAATGTAACAATGATTCTTTGAAATTTCTTATTATAACTCCAATTCCCAGCTGCCGATCCAAAGAAACAGAGGAAAGAAATATAACTCAAAGAATTTAAATAAAATGTTTGTTGACTCTACTGTTTAATAGTTTTGGGAGGTTGAACATTAAATTGAGCTTGGAGCGGACTGATTCACAGAAATGTGGCAAAATGTGTCAATGAAAACGTGAAAAAAACCAGAAAAGAAAAAGTATTGGAGATAATGGAGGCATGCAGTCTTCAACTCTTCCCTTGATTCCCAAGTTGCAAGGCTTTGTTACTCAGCAATAATGAGAGACAGCAAAAGAGGCAATGCATTAGAATTTAGAGCTAAAATTAATGTTTGTGGCACTAGAAGTAGAATCATTAGCAGATACAACATCGACAGACAAAGGGAGAGAGAGAGCAGATTGCCAAGGAAAAGCTTCCTAGTTTATAGGGTTTTGGCTATAATTACATATATACATTAATCTTTGCTCAAGGTTGGAAGAACTTATCACCACATTTGCATTTCCAGGCCAGCAGATAATAGCTTTCATCACCTTGATATGAAGAACTTTGGCCATTTCTATGGTGGGGAGGAGCAACTAAAGCAGCCATGCATGGTCTGCAGCTGAAGCACCTGTTGACACACTTGGGTGGCCTTGAACCCAGAACCATTTTCACTTCCTTGGAACTGTCATTATCTGTTACAGATACTGACCCAACTGCCAAAAAATCCAGGAATAAACGTTACACCACCGATTAACAACACGATAGGATCTTGCAGTTTATTTATGATCAGCGCTTGTTTATAAGCTTTATAGGCGTCCATTTTTTTACCTGATTTGGATGGCAAAAATGTGAAGTATAAGATGAGCAAAACACTGACTGCAATCTTTAGATCAAATGGATGGTTTTTCAATGAAGCCATCAGTCTTGTCTGCTAGGAGAAGTGAAAAGAGAAACTACGAATTGCTGCTGCAGCATGGAGTTTAAGAAGCTTGTTTGTTTCTCGGGGAAGGAATTAGGAAGCAGTTAATATCGATGCAAAGAGTAGGGGATCATGATGAGGTTGCCTGTAAAAAGAAGCATCTCTCATCACTCAAAAAATAAAAGAAAGAACAGAAAAATACAACTCATCTGATCTGATCAGAATTTTGGGGGGGTCCCATAGAATAGCTTTAAAATTTTTGAAGTTTCTCCATCAAGAAATAGTTACTCTTGTCTTCATGTTTCAGGGTGAAGTGACTGAAGTTACCCCTTCTTTCATCTTTTGCTAGCTGACTAGTTTTTTTTTTTCACAAATTATTGATTGAAAGACAACATCTATATGAAGACATAATAAAGAGATATTTATACCACCATTTTTCAGTCATCATGCAATTACAAGGTATGACTCAATTTACTTTTATTTTCATGCGAAGATAACACATATAAAAAAATTGTACGAAATAATTATGTCATATTAATATATATCTTTTTATTTAAATTATGTAATTATATTAATAAAAATTAATTATTAATTATATATTATATGAAATAATTAAATAATAATTATTTATATTAACAAAATGATTATTTATTTTATAATAAATAATTTAATTTTTAATAATATAATTATATGACATAATTATAATAAAAATGATATATATTGACATGACGTAATTATTTTGTATAGTTTTTTCACTTAACATATAGGCCCTTCGAGTCCAAGACATAGGAGTTTTAATCTGTATATTAAAAAATTTATACTGACGCAGATTGCCGAAAGGTAGGAAAAATGCATTGACAGCATCCATGTCTTCTAAAATTTGTTTTATTAGAACTTTCCTATGTGCTTGTTCATGTTTGGGTTTTTTTGAAAGACATTGCACCATCATAATAAATCATCACCTCAATCGTACTTTAGTTAATATTTGTTTTAAACATGAAAATCATGTTTTAGCAAAGAATGGCTTGCACATTGGATGTAAATAGAACTGGTCGAATCTGCCTAGCTTCTTAGCGAGACCAAGGGATATCATTTAATTTGCATGGAAAGTGGAAACCAAAATCTATAAAAGCCTATAATTAGAGGTTAAAGTAGATATGATAATTTTATACACAATATAATAATGATAAAAAAATATAAAAATTATATGATTTAAAATTTATAAATATTATATATAAATTTAATAAAAATAAAAAATATAATTTATATTTGATGTATTAAAATAATTTTAATATTTTATACGAAATAAAAAATTATCAGTTTAGCTCAGAGTATTTAAGCTTACGAAACTTTGTATGGCATGGAATAAATTTTTTCTTTCAGGAAAAGTCAGTGTCCCTCAAGACAAATGAAGAAAAAAGGCCGAATAACCTAAGCTATATATACATACAATCGAAGACAAGCGGATGATCCATTGGTAATATGCTACGAGAGTTAAAGATAACAATGGTTTGTTCTTGAGATTTAGTTTTTATTTTTTTTGATATTACATAATATTAAAAAAATTTTAAATTTAAACTGAATTTTATTAATTTGTTTCGGTTCGGTTTATCGATTTTTAATTTTTATATATTATTTTAATGTAAAATTTTAATATATTTAAATAATTTTAATATAAAATTATTAATTTTATTTTATAAAAATTAAAAAATATATAAAAACTAAAAAATATATAATTCGATTTTATTTTTTTTATTTTTTATCTTTCAATCCGAAATCTAATTCGAATTTAATATATACATTTAATATTCAAATTTGATTTAAATCAAATAAAAAAATCAATTCGAATCAAATCGAATATTATAGTTTCAAATTTATTAATTTTTTTCTCATCCCTTAAAAAAGCTGGTTCCACTCAAAAATAATTCACCCAACACCAAAATATTAGCTTCACAATTTTCTCACATATCGATAATTTTGGTTAGTTTTGTATTCATTCCATCTTGGAGCAACTCTAGTATATTTTTACCTCTTTATGGAGCAAATAATCTTCAAGAGGACGCCCCATACTCGGATTTTGAAAATATTTGTAATACGTCTCATATTTCATTCAAACATTTAATTTAATTATTAGCATATAATTTTTTAAAAAATAAAAAATAAAATTATTTTAAATAAAAAATATTCTTTTTCTTTTCATATAAAAATAATTATATATGAAGCTCACATGAACTTGAGATTTAATTAAGTTAAAACAGGCTTTGAAAAAGGATGGGAAGAGCTCAGCTTTTGTAACAACAAAACAGCTTGTGAATAAAGTGGATACGCAAGAAGAATGGGAGGCTGTTAATCAATGGATTATTCTATAAAAACAACATTTGGATCAAAGTTTCAATATGCTTTACACCGGTTTTCGGGAGAGGTAGTAAAATACAACAAAATCTGAGTATTAGCACTGCCAACGTGACTCACATGTCATTTTAGGGAACAAAACACCAATAAAAGCAGAGACCGGACTTCACCTGTTCCCGACAGTGTGAAGTGACAAAAAGAAAATCAATTTCATTGTCATAGTCGCTCACTAAATTTTTTTTCTTTTTTTAGAATTGATGGATTTTGGATGCAACGAAGGAGATCAATTTCAAAATACTATATAATGCTAGCGGTATTAAATTTGAAATAATGTATCATAAATTTAATTATACAATTAATTATATATAAATTTATGATATTTATGATTTTTTTTATCAATCATGAATCTAATGTTTAGTATTATTTGTATTTAATATTTTGAATCTAAATCTATTTATGAAATATATAAATGCTCATATAATTCAACAAGTTTACAAAAGTCAATCAACATTGAATTACTAATATTGATAAAAGATATGTAGCTGATTTCATGTCGTGGGATTCAAAAGAATTTTATATCTCAATGTATTTTCTGTTTAAAAAATTGAATTAGTGCATTTGATTCAATAATAAGGTATCTCATGTTTAAAGAAGAGATGAATTCAGATTGTTTTTAACTAAAAAAAAAGTACTTAGGTGTATACATCAAATTCAACTCATTCTCTCCCTAGTTTTTGAATGTAAACTTTTTTTTTGGTTTCTTATTGTGGTTAAATCAAGGAAACTTGAATAAAAGACTTACATCTCAGTCATTATTTTTTATGATTTATTTATTTTCATTGCAGGTTAAAAGCCAGAAAGCCAGAGAAGTCAGAATTGTGGCACGGTTTCCCCTAAATGCTAAAGAATTCACAATTTCAGAAGGCTATTTAATGATAGGCATAGGTAAAAAAATGCAGACCACATGGCTGATTCCTGGTGAAGGGCTATCGGCACTACGGGTAGCCCTGTTGGCTAATAGTAGTAGTAGTCCTAGTACTAGTTACAACTGTTGGACCATCCTTTATTGAAGAGGGCAAATGGCGATTTCTGGGGAAAAACAAAGAAACAAAAACTTTGCAGCCTCACTGACTCTTTAAGTTTTTAATATTCTCTTCCGAGATGTTTTAAAGCAACTTGAGAATTTAAAAAGCTTGAATTTGTAGGTCAAAACGTAAAACGAAATTGGTGTGTTTGACAATGATTGCAGCAGTGTTTATGGTAACAAAGGTGGTTTTAATGGCAACGGATCAGAATCCTGGTAAATAACAGCCACTATGAATATGCTTTTGGAGGTGCAAGAGTGGAGCAATTGGGAGAATCGTAGACTTAATAATGATGGTATTGAACCCCAAAATTAATTAAGTAATCACCTTTAAAAGAAGATAACATTCAACTAATCTTGTGCAACTTTTTTCAGACAATGGCGTACGTTAAAGTTATAACATAGGGTTTTGTAAAAGTGTAGGTACAGCATTGTTAGCAGTGGCAAACAGTGCTGCGGATTGCTGCTAATCTAGTTAACAGTCAATGGTAGTAAAGAGCAGTGAAAACTGAAATCCAAGGAGTGGAGACAGTTCCATTTACGGCATGGAGATGGAGCTTTACTCTGAATTATTATTGCAGTTACACATCATACCATTGAATACAGACGAGACATTAACACGTGAACTTTGCTACAAAAAGATAAAAATTATTACAAGGGACAGCCTCGCCCCATATGGTAGGAGGGAAAGGAAGTGGAGGAAGAGACAGAGCCTATATGTCAACGAGGAGTAATAAATTCTTTAATCCTGCATGTAGCAAGGATAGCATGATCCATAAACCCGGAAACTGACACGTACGCATCAGACACAATATTATAGCAAGACGGCTGGTTGGGAAAGCTTAGCAGAGACATAGCTTCTTGGTCCATCTTCTTTCACTGATTTGAATCACATCCACAAAAAATGGATCAGCAAGTCATTGTTCTAAGAAGACTAGGATTTGCAAGACCCTCCATCGGTTTCCAGATGATATTTCCAAGTTTAGCACAGAAATTCTTGTAGAACTGCAAAAAAGGAAACATAAGATTGTTTATCACTTACTTCTGATAGCCATTCATAGAAAATTTAGAGTCAGAAATCAAACATGAACAAGCTAGCAGCATTAGATTAATATTATGGGTGTATAAAACAAACTCGAAGAAAACAATAACTGCCTGATTGATACATCGTTATCCAAGTCAAAAACAATAAAGCCAGGGTTGCCGATTAGCCCATAGAGTAGGCAGGTAAGAAACAAGACTACCCACATGCGTACTGTACCATGAAATAGAAAATTACAGAGATAATACCATAAACTGAAATGAATCTGGCACAACAAGTTCACCGTTGGTGAATAAAACAGCAAGAGAAAAGGTTAGAAAGAGATGTTCTGGTCTCATGCAAAGAATATTGATAGCACTGGCATAAATTGTGCAAGGTGCAAGTTGGAATCAATGATGATGCAAATGGCAGAAGGAAAGACAACTAAGAAAATATTTAGACTTTTGGTAGAGTATAATGAAAATTTAATTCCTTTAATAAGCCAAAAATGGTTGAATTGTAGCTTTAGTCGACCAATGTGAGAATCGACTACACTACACAAAAGATTTAGCATATACTCATTAGAATAAGCAAATCTCTGTAACCATTCTGTTTTAATTTAATTGGTTTTGCACATAACCAATAATCTATTTTCGTTAGACAAAACTAAGAGTAACACAATGGCAATAAATATAGCATAAAATGTTTAAAATATAAGGATCAAGACACATTCAACCAACCTCGTGATATTCAAGAGTATCTCCAGCAGATTTTCGAACATCTACCATGAATATTGATGGTGCAACTTCAAAAACCTATATAAGAGATATAAAATTAACTTTAAAACAAAAGTCATATTGAAACTCACCTGCCAATTTAAAGACTGATTACCAAATGAGAAAAAATTCTAGGAATCTACCTCCAGGACAACTGCAAATTGCCCAACCTTATTAGCAGATATTCCCTCAAGTCTTGTCTGCGGTTAGAAGGAATGAACAAATTGTAAGGAAAAAGAAATAACTTAATATAGTACACTTGTACAGTGATTTTTTTTTCAATATGAAACATGATCACCCAATCAAGGTGACACCAATATCACTTACATTGCCAGGAATAGAAAGAAGTTAAACTACCTTGACAGTGCTATTTCTGGATTAAACCTTATCCCTTCATAATATTATTTGGCAAAGGGAATGCATGGTTGCAAAACTTAAGCCACAGGTATTAGATTAACAGAATTATTTCTGAGAGTTTTTGGGTAGTTTTCAAGGTTAAAATTAGCTAAGTGCCTATTACAGAGGAGCCATTTTTAGGGCTTCTCTATCAGCATGTTACCATGCCTAGGTAGTTTTTATTTTCTTTAGAAAGAAAATGATAAAACAGGAAACAAAAAACTATTTGAGTAAAAATATAAAATTGCTTCATTTTGTGTAAAAGTCAATAGTGCATACCACTACTGAACTGCGACCTGCGTTTTGTGAATGAAAATATGTTTACAAGTCACACCTTGTAATTACGTGTATGAACCTTGAGACCCATTGATTCTGCAACAGCTTCAACACTTGATATTACAACTCTTGCTGGTTTGCGTGATACAAAACGAGTTTGCATTACAACTCTTGCTGGTTTGCGTGATACAAAACGAGTTTGCCGTTTTACATAATCCTGCCAAAGAAAAAGTATGGTCTATAGCTTGTACACTAGGCATTAAACAGTATAAACATCTCATTCTCTCCATGTAAATTATCAGCAAACAGCATAGACAGGCATTGATATCGTAAAAAGGAGAAGAGATGATCACCCCACCCATTTCACATGACTGAATATTGTGCAAGATATAGAAACTCAATACGCTTTTCACATTTTACACAAGAATAACAAGCAACTAAAGTATCACCTATAACCAACCAATAAGTATGATGCAATAAGAGAAAATTGATCATGCTTTAAGATGAAGTAAAATAACATAAAAGATCACATGTTAGCAATGCCAACTTCTGAAACTACAACAATATGAACAATTCAAGGACAAACTAGTAAATGAACATAGGAATACAATTTCGTATGGCAGCAGAAAACACTGACTTATATATTGCTCTAACTGTTGCCTGTCAAACAATGCTGACAGGTTCAAGCCTTGGGATAGCGTAATCAACTCAAATGCATTCATTATCAGGGGACCCCCCTCATTGACTGCGGACTGCTCAACAGCGTACTGATCCTGCAAAATACCAGTGACAACTCAGCAAAGAGAAATATAGCAAAGAATAAAAATCTAGAGAACAGGGTTCTCAAGGCAATCAGGTTGCATTTAACGTGCTTAACTCTAATAACATCAATAATAGTGACATGACAAAAATGAAAAATCTGCAAGCAAGCATCAGAAAATAATCCAAAGAACAAAAGAATCAATTCCCCATCTCAATGTCATAAAAAACTGCATGGACATCATCCAAATTCACTTCTTCTTCTCTAGGTCTCACAGGCACATAATGCTTCTGAAACCATGGATCTTTTTTAATTCCCTCAATCTGAACACGCTACAGTAATACAGGAACCAGTTAGAGAGTGGTTCAGAAACAAGTACCAAAACAGATCTTAACTTTGTATTATTCACCTTGCTTCATCTAACTAATGCCTACCATTATGTATTGAAGAATTTGGGAAAAAATAGTCACAAATGATAGTGTTTTAGAAATAAAATAGAACTTATTAAGACCAGATGTAATGAAATTTTATTTGATTCTCATGCCTGAACTCTCTGCTTCATATAAAATGGAAGGAATTTTCATGTAAAAACAAGTTCTTGGTCTGTTCATTTGATCATTGCAACGGCAGTGCTTTGTCTGGAGGATCCTGTTCTAGGGGTTCTTCAATATACTGAACATCCACGACTTCCTAGATTAGTAGAGATTAAAGCATTCTTGAGCTGAATAATTGTATCTAATGAGATGTCAAAGCAAATGCATTGAGTACTTTAAGGTTGCAGAAAAATATTTGGCATTCATAGACATATAGGATAATGCAATACATATGATGTATTCATGAAGGCGTTCAAATAAATAAAACCTAGAGCCCAACACTCAATGGGAAGCTAAATATACTCACAGTTCTAGGATTGGGATCAAGGATCTTCTCTATTAATGATTTTGCCCCAGGAGAAAACCAATATGGACAAGAAAATTGAGCAGCATTAACCTACACATTGACCAGAGCAACAGTTAGAAGTTTCACAGTTATATCAGTGCACTTACTAAAGTGCTTACATGATATACATTAAATTCAATTAAGGTGGTTCCTCACATATACTAAATGGTAGGATTTTACAAGAGTAACAAATATTAAATACTTGGGGTTTGCAGACTCCATTATTCTATATGAAAAGACACATGAATTTCAGTTTCAGCACAGGATGCATGTCTGACAGAGAAAATTACAAGAACAAAATAAGATACAAAATGAGAACGTAAATAAGATGGCAAGCATTCATTACAACTAGAAAGAATGGAGGAAAAAGATGCAGGAGCATTGCAACATAACTGTACACAAATAGCTTAATAGCAGCCAGTGCCCGCAAAAGCCAGTGCCCGCAAATGCTAGCAGAGATTGTTCACTCATAAGAATAAGCATGTTGCAAATTAACAATGCATTAATTGCCAAACATGCAAAAATAATGGTATCTAACCTTTGTGTACAAGGTAGGAAGGTCTGTCCCATCAAATGGGAGATACCCAGCCATTATAACAAAGAGAATGACTCCACATGACCACACATCAGCAGCCACACCATCATAACCCAGGTTGCTGAGCACCTGACGACCAATGATTTACTGTGAGAAATTCAACTACGTAACAGAAACTTAAACATGCATGTCTTTAAAAGTACTGATGCATATTTAAACACCACATGCTTACAATTTACAGCCATGACTATATCTAAGCTATTAAGAAATTACAGAAAGTAGTAAACTGCCATGATGGAAAACAAAACGGCCAACAACTATCAATGCTAAAGATTTTTAAAAATTTAGGATGAAGATATTAAGAAACTACAGCCATGATTTACCATTCTTCAATTTTACTTCAGCAGCAATATCCCTAGTACCCTTGGCATCTCAGCCACTTCCCTCCCGTAACCAAAGAGAAATAATTCCTAGCAAACATCACAAACTAATGATTGGGTATTTTAGGGATCTTATAAGTTTCTGTGCAGTCGTAACACCGATTAATATTTATTTATTAACTCAATACTTGTAATAATTGATAAAAGGTACATTAAATCCAATGAATGGATCATTATTTGTTGGAGCAACAGAGCAAAAGCAGCAAAGTGAAAGATCAGTAGTTAAAATAGTTGTAGACTCCCACGTAAGAAGACTTTTATATCAAATCGAAGGAGACATATAGGACTTAGCAGATTGGGCTCTGCTTGTCTAGTGCATGACAATAATATCAGCAATTGTGTTAGAATTTGAATTGGAACTTTTTATATTTTTTAGTGGCATTGACATACGGAATCCTATTTTAGAGAAAAAAAATTAATGCAAGCAATTTCAAATGTCCTGCAGTTCAAAATGCAAGAGGCTGGCACAGACAACAACTAATTGACCAAAGTCATGAGCAAAAATCAATTATATCTTGGAAGTCAAACACTGTGGCAAAGCGTAGTAGACAATAAGACAATTTTGTTGCATAATCCTTAAATTGCTTGACAGAATGTACCTCTGGTGCAACATAATTTGGGGTTCCACATGTTGTATGGAGAAGTTTAACCCCCTGCTCATGGGTATGAACTTATTATGAGAGAGAGAAAAATTTTAAGTAAATAGTCTCTGCTGTATAAATCCTAAATAGAAGTCAATATGCTTACTTGCTCGGGCAACGCACTCAGTCCAAAGTCAGAAACCTTCAAATTTCCATAGGAGTCAAGAAGAAGATTTTCAGGCTATAAAATGCAGAGGAAAAGAAAACGTTAGTGAAGATTAAAAGATGGATTCATGAAATAAGTGCTTTTCAAAGATGTTGAATTCAAAATATTGCACCTTTAGGTCTCTGTGGTATACACCCTTACTGTGACAATGAGCAACAGCATCAATAAGCTGTTGAAAGTATCACCTACATTCGTTCTCCGGAAGTCTTCCACCAGGAACCTACACGAAGAGTTAAAGAGAAGATAAATGGAAAAAAAACAATAACAACAAAGAAAAAACACAAAGAAATTATGGAGAATAAGTTAAGATAAAAAAGCTGGTAATACTTGGAAGACAAGAGATGCCTTACAATTTTATCAAAGAGTTCTCCTCCACTTAAAAACTCAAGAATAATATATATCTTTGTCCTACTTGCCAAAACCTAAAATTAAAAAAAAGGTACTCAGTAATAATCAACAATGTAAGCAGGAACATCAACATAAGATGTACATTATTAAAAGTATATACATACCTCATGCAACGTAACCATGTTAGGATGTCTAACAATCTTCATTATGGATATCTCTCTTTTAATCTGAAACCAATAAAAAAAACCCAAAAAAGGGTTAGTCAACTAATGGGCATAAAGGAAGATATTCATAAATCAAGCTGGTATGCAAAATGCTTCTACAATTTCACAGCCCATAGAAGCTCTCAAATATTATGGAGCTAAGGAGTTAAAATCCTTAGGCCTAGATTTAAATAACCAAGGAAGCAGGAAATCAAATGCAAACATATCCCCAACGGGTGCTACAGGAAGAAGGTTTCTGCCTGAACACTTATAGTATATGAACAATATGACTTTGGTTTTATATTAGACAAACATATTTTACAGGGAAAAAATAATATCCAGACACCTTTTGTTGCTTGAGTTCTGAAAGTGATGTGATCTAGTTTTTCACTAAATAAATTCAAAAGACAGGACAAAAACAACTATTTATCTTATCAAAAAGACTTTTCTACTAAACAAGAATCCTCCTGATCCAAAGAATTTCATTAACAATCCTGTGTCAAAACAGTGTCCCTAGAACAGGGCCAAGGGGAACACATGAAAGTTATATTGAGAAATAGCAAGGAATATAACAGATATGAGGGGAAAAGACAGTAAGAAAAATAAAAGTGATTGGAAGAATATAAAGATATTGATCTGGATACTGAAAATTATAAGCTGCATAAATATAAAGATATTTCTCAAATCAATAATAGAGTATTTCAAGTACTCATTCTACAAGTTACAGCAAATTAAGCCTGCTCCAACAGTGTGGAAGCAACGTTAAGTAAAACTTTAACTTAAGCTATTTCATCAGGTCAGCGCATGTCCAAGATTCAGAAGGCTCATACTGACTTGAAAATTAATCTAATCACCATCCACTTTTTTTTGGAGAATTTACCATATACATTCTTGTAGTCAATTTGCTACTTACATTCTACACAACACTGATGTCTCATGCATTCATTATATCAGCATGTCCCATGGGCCATAGCCTTAATCTTAAGTTCTTAACAACCACAATTCATGCAGAACTGCGAAACAGCCCAAACACGATTTCCAACCGAACAATCAAACGGGAAAAACTCAATTTGATTATTTTAGCAGTGAATTCAGTTACATTTAACAAAATTGGAAGACAATCATCATTATTTTTCAACTAGTTCGCTAAACAAAGCATTAACAGTTTAAAAAAATCAATGAATACGAATTACAAAATCTAAAGCCAAAGGCTTTTAGGGGTGTTTTTGAAGAATTAAATAAAATACCTGATCAACCATTCTGTGCTTAAGAATGGTGGTTTTGGCCAAAACTTTCATGGCCACGCTCTCACCGCTGTCTGTATTCTGCGCAAACTTGACTTTGGCGAATGTTCCTTCTCCAATTGTTCGACCAACCTCATACTTCCCTAATTTCCTTGTTCCTTTGTTCACCTTTATTCAACGTTCATTTCACACCTGAAACCCCCCCCCCCAAAAAAAAAGAATCAGAATTAAGCATAATTAAAGAAAATAAAATTTTGGAAATTTGCAGTTAATGATGCGAACTAATTGAGAGTAATAACTTAATAAGATTAAAAAAAAAGTAAGCAATCTTAAAATGCTCTGTTTGGCTGCTGAGAAACTGGTGGAAAAACGAAAAAAAAAAAAGGAACAAAAAAAACTAAGTGCCGGATGATAAGTTTTACAAACAAAACAACAATTTAAGAGAGAATAAATAGTAATTTGAGATTAGAATAAGGGCTAAAATAAAATAACACAATTACAGAAGAGAAAATTCGATTAATGGGAGGAATATTCCGGCGAAAAACTAACCGCCAAAAAAACTAGTAGCAAAGTTTTAACTGAAAATTTCCGTGTTGGAACTTGGAAAAAAAAAAGGATGGACGGAGCTTCTGCGGGGGATTCACGTTAGCTCTGTCGGTAAATTGATCGTTGATCAGAGCAGGCAAAGCAGAGAAATAAAAAGCTGAAATTTTGTTTTGATTTAAATTTTTAAAAGTAATTGTAACTACTTTATACACGTACTTTTCTTTTATTTGTATACTAATAGTATATTACGAAGATGAATGCTCTTTTTTTTAGTATATTATGATAATGAAAAGCACTTTTTTTTTTATATGAATTTATATAAATCTTCTCTTAAAATCAATATGATTCGAAACGAATGGTTCTTCATTGATTTTTAGATTTATTTTTTATTTTTAATATATTTAAATAAATTTATATATAAAATAATTATTTTATTTCATAAAAATTTAAAATACATATAAACATTAATAAAAATATATAATTTATTTCGATTTAATTTTTTTTTTTTACATCTTAATCCTAAATTCAATTTAAACTTGATTTAAATAAAATAAAAATTTTAAATCAAATCAAACTGAATATTATAAATTCAAATCAATTTTCAATTTTTTAAATTTTTTCTCACCCTCTATTTCTTTCTTCCTCTAATCTCTCAAGTTGAGGCATCCTTTATTGTTCATCATTTTCTAAAGAAAAACCCAAATAAAAAAAGATTTTCCAAAATATATTCCAAGATTCTGGTGATCAGATAATTAAAAAATTTTGTATTTTTTATGAAATTTTTTATGTAACAATAATAGAGTTCGTTTGAGATTAAATTGAAAACATATGAAATTTATCCAAAAAAAAAATCAAGAAACATGGAAAAATATATTTTAAAACGTATTTTCATGTTCAAATCAATCAAATTTATAAAAAGGAGAAAAAAAAAGATATTAGATAAATAAATTATTATATATCTTGAAATCATATATAAACATCAATGATTAAGCAACGTAACTGTTATTGATCGTGATTAATAAAATATAAAAATAGATACAAAATACACATTTTCTAAACCAAATCATCTTAAATATATTTGCATTGCTTGTCAATAAATTATTTCAATTCCTATTTATTTATCCTTCATCTTTGAGAAAAATTGAACTCTTAATTTATATATTTAAGCTATTTGATAGAAGCGAATACTCTGGACAAATAGGCACGAAATAACGTTAGAACAAAAGTGTAAAATGGGCTGAGGATAAACTGTTGCCAACTTGTGCTTAAGATAATAATAAAGCTACCAGCTTTTGATATTTGATGATTAAGTTCCTTGATACAATCCCAAAAAAATAAATAAATAAACTTCAAACTTCAAAGCCTTCAGCGCAGCCTTTGTGTCCAGAAGACCATACAATGTAGGCAAAGCTCAAAAACATTGATACACCATCCTGTATTTGTGTGCTAAGGATCTTTACGTGTCTTAATTCTTTTTTGTTTTTTAAATATAAATACGAGAAAATATGAAAAAAATTAATATATAATTTTTTTTTTCTTTACAATTCGTGTGGAAATGTTCCATTGAACCTTGCCAAAGAGAGAACACTAAATTTGAGTCAAAGTTGTAATATGCAAATTTAGACCAAATTCTATTGCTATCTGAAATGATCAGCTTAGGTGCTACGAGCTATTCTTTTAATTTTAAACAAAAAAATTTTGAATTTTACCATATTTTTTATGAGTTGTGATTTAGAGTGAAATTCATTTAATATAATTTTTTTATTCAAAATTTTTTTTAATTACAATTATAGTAATTTTTTTTAATTACAGTTATAATTATTTTTATTATTATTTTTAATTTTATTGAAATCAATCTCAGTAATTATCCAAAAGAAACTTAATTATTATTATTTCAAATGGAGTTTGAAATTAATTCGAAATTAATGTTAATTTAAGTAAATTTTACCATATTTGTTATGTATTAAAATAGAGTTTGTCAAATTTTAAATTTAATTAAATTGATTTATACAATTATTTTTAAAATATAACATTGAATAAATTTAAAAGTCCAATTTTGATACCTATAAACTTCTATTTTTATATTTAGACTATAACTTTTGTATAACAAAAAAATATAATCTATTGAACATCTTCGTCATTCTTAAGGATACATATTTGCAATTTTATTGGTTTTTTTTTTGACAATTCTGATTATGAGTATAAATGATATATCAGTACTCACAAGCTACTCGAGTTCGATTAAAATAAAATTCAAATTTGATTCAATTATTAACGAGTCAAACTCAAATTCGAGTAATTTTATTTATCGATCTAATCAAATTTAAACATTCATATACTTGACTCGAGTTATTCACAAGTTTAATTAAGTTTTTATATTTTAATTATTTTAATTGATAAAATATCTCGAACTCGAGTTCGAGTTCAAGCACAAATAATCGAGCTTTTTTTAATATAAGAATCAAACTTATTTTTACAAGTAATCGAATCTAATCGAGCAAATTCGAGGTGCTTGATGTCTATCTCGAGTCGAGCTTAAACTAAAATAATAAAATTCAATCAAGTTCGAACCGAGTTTTGAGTATTAAATTTGAAGTCGAACTCGAGTTTAAGCTCGAGCTCGAACTTAATATTATATCAATTTGAACTCGATCGATTACTCTCCTAATTCTAACTAAATTAATTTATAAAATGATTCTTTAGAGTACTATTAAAAATTACTAATATATATGATTCTAGAAATCACTTTTTTTTGTCAAAAAAATTTGTGACAAATAAATTTACTCTAACCTACAAATCAAGGTGCAAATATTGAAAATGATTTTTTTCATCTAGTAGTACAAAAACATATTATCAACTCACTACTAAGGTTCAAATGCAAAATTACTTACATATAGGTGACAACGATTTTATCCATTGAACCAACTTTATCGATATTATTTACTATTGGAATACAAAATTTTTGAAATAATGAAAAGCTTAGTCAAGTTAATGTTTTCTAAGTTAACGGGTCAAAAAAGTTATTAAATAAAAAATTAATAATCATTTAAGTTCCTTACTTAAAAAAATCATTTAATTCTTTTTTATTTTATTACAACCAATTAAATCTTTAAAAATTTATTTTCATCAATTAAATCTTTATTAGGCAAAAATTGATTAACTGTCATTACTTATTTTTCATCTAATCCATAATTCAATTGAGGTGAAAATAAATATTTAAATATTTAATTTGGTGAAATTAGATATTGAAGAATTTAATTGAGTAAAAATATAAAATTCAGAATTTAATTTATTATAATAAAATATTAAAAACTTATATAATTATTAAAGTTTCGTTTGAAATTTTTTTTATACATTTCACATTCTTTTTACTTGTTTATGGCTCGATAAAAGATTAAAAATAACCATAACTTACTCTGTGAACCAATATGAAGTTTCATAAAGAATCTACATTTTTCTAACAGTTTTTCTAGACTGAAAATAGGCTGAAGTATAAAAAAATTTTTGAATTAAAATTAAATAATCACTAAAATTTTTATTATTTTATTACAATGAATTAAAATTTCAAATATATAATTTTTCAGTGGAATCTTTAAAAGATGAAAATTAATTAACTATCATCATCAATTTCTTTTCAATTAAAAGTTTAATTATATGAAAAAAATATTTAAAAATTTAATTAAATAAAAATAAAATTTGAATATTTGATTAAATAAAAATAAATATATGAGAATTTAATTAATTATAATAAAATTATAAATTTTGAATAATTATTTAATTTTAATTTAGATTTTTTTATATATAAACCTGGAGTGATATGGTACGGCATGCATTTTTTTTTAATAGAAAAAAAAATTGGCCCAGAAGGTCATGGCTGACATCAGATGAACATGTTTAAAATTAGGTAAATGTGACATCCTACAATTATAAATCATTAATTTATGGTTAATCTAGATTAAGAAAGTAAATGATATATTTATACTCATAAATTATTTGAATTCGATTCGAATAAAACTCAAATTTAACTCGTTTGTTATCGAGCCGAATTCGAGTTCAAATAGTTTGATTTATTGATCGAATGGAATTCGAATATTTTTATACTCGACTTGAATTATTCGTAAGTCTAATCGAATTTTTATATTTTAATATATTTTAATTAATAAAATATCTCACACTCGAGTTTAAATTCAAGTACAAATAATAAAATTTTTATCGAATATAAAAATCAAATTTATTTTTATATGTTAATCAAATATAATTAAATAAATTCAAATAATTTAATTTTTATCTTAAATCAAATTTAAATTAAAAAAATAAAATTAAAATCACGTTCGAACTGAATTTGAAATCTTAAATTTAAAATTAAATTCAAACTTAAATTTAATATTATATTATTCGAATTTAATGAATTATATCTCTAATATAAAACTTTTCAATTTAGTATTCAAAGAATACATCCGATTCGTTTAAGGAATAGTACACTTCAACTCATCCGTGATGTAAGCTATTTTAATGGCACTTGGGGTTAGGCCAATGATAAAGAAATGGCCTTGATTTCTTCTTTGACAAACCAAGTTGAAATATTCAGAGAAGAATAGAGTAGGCCCAAACCTTAGGGCCCAAAAGAT